CTTATTTCGTAAACAAATTATTTTTTCTAAAATAGACACTTATAATCTGAACAATCAAAACTTTAAGTTCTCCTTTTTTTAAAGGAAATTTTTTTGTTACTTCCTATCTAAACATAAAAAAAATTTCATTTAAAATTTAAATATTAAATAAATTACTAGTTCCTAATAAATTACGAAAAAATAAATTTTTAAATTTAACCAAAAAAAATACTACAAAGTTACTATTAAAATTTATATAAGTTAATTATTACCTTATATAGGCATGACTTTCAAAAGTTAGTAAATTTTCTTTTTAAATGTGAATGAAATAACGTTAAAACTTTGACTATATTTTAGAACATTGAATTAAACTACATGGAATTTATTATCTACCAATAAAAATTTGAAAACAAAAATCAAGGTATTATATTATAACAAATGACTTAACATTTTATGATTTTGTAATGAATTGAAGAGATTAAGGTGCAAAACATTAAAATAAAATTAAATAGCATAGCATGTATGGTATATAGACAATTGTCAAAGATGTTAAATAAATTATTATCTTGCAAATAACTCAAAAAAAATAATGAGTTATATATATTAAATGTTTGAATAGTATATTGTGTATTTCATAACATAACAATTCCTCACAACCTTGTATTCATATTTACTCCATATAATGATTTTTAAATCGTCGATCTCACTTAAATTAAATGTTCCTTTAAAAAGAATTCCTCTTTTTTGGCTAAGTTGATTGGAAAACAATAATTAACAAAAAAAGTATAAATAAGAAGTTACTTAGCCTTAAGCATGTATCAATTTTTTAAATTTGCTAATAGCAATCAGATTAAAAGTGTTAAATTTAGTAATCATCTATGTATTCTAATTTTGAATGTGCGAAATTAAAAGTAATAAGAAAATGGGATAGGTGCAATTTGAAAAAGATGGAATATTTTATCTGTTTCAAATTTTATAAATATACATAAATCGCATCATAGATTTAGTTTGAAGCCATGATATGATCTCAGATATTATTTCTTCATGACCAATCTTCTCCATGATTGTGCACTAAAAGAGAGCCGTAGGAAAATTTGCTCCATGATTGTGCACAAAAAGAGAGCTATAGGAAAATTTGCCCTATTACTTAAATATTCCCATAAAGTTAAATAGAATTCAAATTTTCAAATATTTGTATTGTTAGATTACCATTCCATAAGTAATTATTTTTTATAAAAAAATTAATCCTATTAAGTTTTATCTAAATTGAAAAAGAAACATGATATATTAGTATTTCCTTATTCACATGGAAACTTTTAAACGGACAAAACTACAAACCCAAAAAGAAAAGTTACTGCCCAAGGAACTTAAAAAATAGTGAAACTAAAAATAATAGTCAAAATATGATAAATTTTTCAATTTTAATATTCTATATATGAATAGTTTAAAAATTGTGACTAGAATATTAAATAACTACATATATTTTTAATTTGAGATCATAAATTTATTTTTTTTTAAAAAAATTCATATAAATTAAACTAAAAATTAAATTGAAAGGGAGGAACTACTAATTAGCACTTTTACCGTCCCTGCTCAATTATTGTAGCAAGGTATACTTGTAATGGCTGATTCAAATATGACATATTAATTTTGGTAGAGCTGTCAATATCATCTCATATGCTTTGAAATTTGATGGGATATGTCGAGCTAGCTCTTTTTTATGTTGATTTGAAAATGGTCGGCTCAGTCCACAAGCACATGAGCTATAGTTTTTTTGCAGTCAATCCTCTTTAAAAATATTATCGTAAATATCGATAAAACAATATTACATAGTGTTAGAGTTATTACCTGTTAATTGAATACGCAAATAAAATTATCTTTATAGTATTTATTAAGTTTGATTGGAAGTAAATGCATAAATAACTAAATAGAAATATTAACCTATCAATAATCATAATAAAACACAAAAACTATCACAATATTTCATAGTTTATGTGTGACTATGACCTATATATGGATTCCGTAGAAATTTTAGGAAATTTTTATTTTATGTAACATATATTTTATAAATATAATTTATATTCAAATTATAATATTTTAAACTTTAAACAGATTTTGAGTTAAAACTTTTGTTATTTTTAATACTCTATTTTATTTTTATTTTTTCATTAATTTTATTTTAGTCCACGGTTAGCCCTATTCATATTTGTGAAGCCATTTTCGGTGGTTGGATAAGAGTCAATTATTAGTAGATCAAAATCTGACGCTGTACTACTGTTACTGCAACTATGTTACTACTGTTACTGCAACTATGTGTGCTGCTTTCACTTTTTAATTTCTGCATTGTGTTTACGAGACGAAACAATGAGGTGTTTGTGTTGAATCTGGTTAGATAAGTTTCAGTTTCATTTTGGCGTAACTTTGTTTTGGATACGAAGACTGGATTCCCAAATTGTACAAAAAGTAACGTGAGTGCTACTTTTAGCTTGGTGTATTGTTTACATGTATTGCTTCCACTATCCATTACCAAAACCTTTTTCCCTTTCGGTGGTTGGTACATGAGTCCAATTATTTCAAATCCAAATCAATATAAATACGATTTATAGCTATGAATTTAATATATGACTCATATATCTAATACCTAACTTATGTATTGTTTACTATGTATTAACCAGATAACTTGAAAAAATTATTAACACGCGCTAGGCCTAAAAGATAGTGTTACCTAGGTCGAAAAGGAGTAGAAAATTATTTATGAAATAAATTTGGGGGCTAATAAGACATTAGTACAGTATAAGTGTATCAAATTTCGCACATAGATTGGGAGATACTTATGCATTTTCTCTAAAACTTTCCGTCACTATATTTACTGTGTATAAAACTTTAAAATTCACCATTTTAGCTTAGAAAGATTAGACAGTGACTTTTCTAGTCATATCAAGAATTATCATGGACACCCATATACATGAAACCAGTAAAATGATTGTTTTCAGCTTGTACATATTTGATTTCATAAATAAATTTAAAATAAAATTTGATAAAAACTTATAAAATCATACCCAAATAAACCGTGAACACTCCTACTCTAAGTTCTCTACAACTCTTTGACTATTCTAGGTCTTCATGAAAATTTTTAAATATTAATTTAGAGTTTGTTTGACACTGTGAATGAAAACTATCTATTTCTATAAGCATCTTTAAAAAAAGTTTTTAAAAATGTGATATTGGATTAAAATAATTTGTGTTTAACTAATTCATTTGAAAAGTGTTTTTGATAATGACTGATTTTAAAAAAAAGTATTTTTGAGAATCAAATAATTAAACATGTTGAAGCAGACACGTCAACATAGAACTAAAAGTCAGAGTTAAAAACTCTATAATTTCAAAAAGATTATACACTAATTATATTAAAGTAGAACAAAAGAAATAAGTTTAACAAAAAATTTTCTGAAACACGCTGAAGCAGGTACGTTACGTTGATTTTAAATTTTTTAGCTTTGTAGGATTTCATAATTTCGAAAAATATTATACACTAATTAAATTAAAGTAAAACAAAAATTAAAGTAAAACAAAAGTGATCGATTTTTTTTCCAGAAAAACGTTGAAGCAGACACACTGATAAGAACATGCCTGCTTGAGCACTAACTCCTTCATATATTTATACTACAAAAAATAGCTCGTGTCAGCGCGAACCCAACATTTATATATATTACTAATGTTTAAAAATAAATCTAAATCCCTAATTATTTAGAAGTATAGTATGCATTTGCAAAAGATTTTATTCAAATAGTCAAATTCCAATATTTAAAATAATAACCACATCAAATTGAACCGAATCAACTATCATGTTTCTTTAATTAAAACTATAGGTCGGATACATTTTTATTTTATAAAAATAAATTTAAAATAAAATTAATTATTAGTATTTCATATAATTATTTAATAAACACGATATATTATACATAAATATTTTTTTACTTAATTTGCTAATATGAACAAGTGTAAGAGCAAATATTTTAATATAAGATTTGAATTAAAAAACAATTAAATATGTAGGTTATTATAATTAATTGATATGAATTGATTTCACAAGAAATCCCAATAAATTGGAGAATAACACTTTTATCGTATTATTGATTTTTCTCATTATTTATTTATTTCCACAAATTACTTTCTCAATATAACATTGAAGTGTATATATATATATTCTCTTTTTTCAATTTTATTTGTCACATTCATCTACTAAGAAATTTAATGATTAACATAACTATTTTTTTTTCATAAAATGCTTCTATTAATTAATATATAATTCTTGAAAATAATTTTTAAAAATGAATAATTAAAAATAAAAATAAAATATAAAAAAATTATTTTCGTTCACTTGAATAATAACAAGTAAAAATAAAATCTACATTTTCATAATGAATAAATAACACAAAATAATATTTAATTTATGCCCAATACATAAAAATATTGTGCTTCTATTCACCAAACAAATTTAAAAATACTATATAAAATACTATATAAAGAAGGGAAGACTAAAAATTAATGGGACCCATCCTATATTCAGCTTCCATGAGGGTATGCTTTGTGATTTGGTGGTAAAAGGATGGGTTTTTTTAGAGCTTTTGATGGAGTCTAATTAACAAAGCATAAAAGATAATTATGCTAAGCAACTTTATCTAATAAAACCTTTTGAAGAATTGAATATCCTCAAACTTTTATTTAATATCCAACAATTGACATGTTGCAAGTTACAAACTCTTTTTTCTAATATTTTCATATATATATATATATATATATATATATATATATATATATACTATTATTATAGAAAAGGCTAGTTCAACATGTGTGGTTGTCGTCAATTTTAAAAAAGTTAAAAGTTAAATTAGTCATTACATATAATATCATACATAGGTGGCATGAGATGGACATACAATATCAAACGTGTGCTCTGCACATTACTCCATCTATCTACCTTGAAAATTGCAGTACCAGTTACTTTGAGGTTATTTACTAAGGCATATTATTCTATATGTTAATATAAACATGTTATTTTTCCATCTGTGTATCAAAGAACTATTGAGCTGTAAACTGTGTCTTGCACATGATATTATGTTGAGCAAGTTATGTTGCCAATAACGGATATGAGATATTTTGCCAATGTAGGTTAGAAGAAATTGGAGCACTTCAGAAGACATTGTTGACTAATAATCAACAGCTCAGGCGTATCTTCACAAGCCCTTGGTTGCATGCAGGGCTTTTCCATCTGATCATTAACCTGTCCTCAGTAATCTTTGTGGGACTTCACTTAGAGCAAGAATTCGGATCATGTAAGAATATTCTTGTAATATGTTCTTTCATTGAGAAAGTTGTTAATTGAATCTTTGATTGAAGCTCCTAGCTCTTGTGGGTTTGTTTTGGAGTTTTTGTGGGTTTATTTTGGAGCTTTTTTGGAGCTTGTTGGCAATGACATTAAAAATTTTCCCAATAGATTCTGATACTACTCCACCGACTTGTGTATATAACTAGCGTTGCGATACTGTATTGGTTTGGTTTTAGTATATCTTTTATCTCTTTATGATCTTTTAAATAAAAGAAATTGCAACAACTGAATTTTAGTTGAGTGAAGATTCTATGTAGTTGTAACTGTGTTAGTGGAGTTAAGGAAAATTCTTATAAAGCAGAATAGGACAGGAGATTGATTCAGTTCCTTATGGGATTGAATGAGGTGTATACTGCGATTCGAGGAAGCATTCTCATGATGAATCCTTTGCAATAACTTGCACAAGCATTCTCATTATTAGTGCAGGACGAAAAACAACGAGAAATCAAGCCTAACAATCAGTTGTTCATGGAGTCGACTTCTCTTAATGTGCATGGTTCAGGAGGAGCAAGTACCTCCAAACAACCTCGATAGACTCAACAAAGTTATCCTCCTTCAGCAGGCATTTCTTCTTCAGCAGGAAATAACAGTTTCAGAACCAATTATTCTCAGACCTCCAACACTTACAATAACAATCGGGGTCGTGTGGTGTGTGACTACTGCAACAAGATAGGACACACCATAAATAAGTGCTATAAACTCCATGGATACCCACAAACAAATAATCAGAATTCTTACAATAATAACTAGAATTTTCAGAATGGATATCGCAACAATTACAATCAGAATACCAGGTTTAACAAAGGCAAAGGACTCATGGCTGATGTGCATGGTCCTTCATTTGATGTGATGTCAAGTGGAGCTGAGGAACAAGGGGGTAGACATGATACACATTCCAAATTGACTAGGCAACAGTATGAACAATGCATGAGTCTGTTGCAACAATTTCAAGCTGAAAATCATGGAGAATCTGTTAAAGGCATGGACCTTATGTGCGGCAACGTGAACCTTGCAGGTATGATAGTCTGTACTTCCTCTGTTGATTTTGGAATATTATCCTGCAGGTGTTTCAAAAACAAGTCTAACTCTTGGAATTGTCCAAGCAAAAAACTCATGATGAAAGAGTACTTTTGTGGGTCTTGAAGGTTGGGTGTTTGTTAATGAGGAAGGGAATAAGCAACAGTATATCAAAGATTGTACTTTTGGTGTGTATTGAAGTTCAGGTTGAAAAAAACATACTTTTAATGGATTTGAGGGAATCAAAACGTTGTTAGTTGTGTGTTGGTGGGGAAAGTTAAGCTACAGTCATCAAAGATTGTTCTTTTGGTGTCTTTTTTGAGGTTTAGATTGGAAAGAAACATACTTCTTGTGAAATCTTGTTAATTCAATTCTTGATTGAAATTAGATACTTATTAGATTATCACTAGACTTTCCAACCTTGAAATTTTATTGTTAATTCAATTCTTGATTGAAGTTGGAGAATTATAAGATTAGCAGTTCACTTTCCAACCTTGAATTTTTTCTTGTTAATTCGATTATTGATTGAAGATAGTGAATTATTAGCTTTGTAGTGTTATTTTCAAAGTTGCAGCATTGAATCTAGAAAACTGAAATACTTTCCAACCTCAAAAACAGTCAATGTAGTTGAAGCGGTTTCCTTTTCCTTTGTCCAGAAGTTCTCAATTTGTTTGATTGTATTTACATGATCAGATAGATGATATTCAGAACAAATATTGTCGGAAAAGGTAAACTTCTCGGGTAACTATCTAAATATTGGGAGAACTTCTATGTTTCAATTCTTGATTAAAAAAAAAAGAAGAAGAAAATTCAATTCTTGATTATCACTGTTATTTTTAAGTGATTGCTGCATTGGATCAGGAAAACTGAAACACTTTCTGACCATGGAATTGTTCTTGTTATTCAATTCGTGATCGAAGTTAGAGGCACACTATCCAACCTTAAAAATTAGTTTTGTGTTTGTAAGTCCCCCAAAATAGTTAATGTTCTGAAGTTCTAAATATGTTTATTTGTATGTCAATCTGGAGACTCTGACTTTTGTGTGTATGTGCACTCTTTGATCTTTGCTTCATCGTCTTGAAACAACTATTATCACAGTATGGAGCCAGACCAAGTTGTTGCTGGATTGGTTGGAATGGGATTTTCGTTATCTGATATTGCTAATGCTCTAGAAGTAGTGGGTCCATCAATGATAGTTTGATTGATTATTGCTGCTGTCTTGCCTTAGTTTTCAAGAAATTGTGGCTGCTGAGAACTTTATGAATTGTTTCGCAATGATTTTGGAATTTCTATCTTTTGTCAAGTTAAGGATAAAATATTCAGCAGCATCAAGACCTTATAGGATTCCACTAGGAAGTTACTTCAGTTCAGATAAAAAAGATATGCAAAATAGGACATCTCAGCATGCCAAGAACCTACTATATATAGACATATAGGAAACCAATCTGGCTCTCAAATTAACAGATGTGTATTTGATTACGTGCGCTCTTTCTATCCTCAATTGTACCAAGCCATTGTCACCCACATTTTACAATTAAAAATCAACAAGCAGAGACCCAATTAAACTGGTGACCCTCTAATGTAAAACCAAGAGGATAGCTTCATCTATTTCTAAATGAAACCAAAATTAAGTGAACAAAAAATGATGGAGGAAGACTGAAAGGTATTCTCTTCACAACTTATTTTTACTTGATTCATACTACAACTTATTTTTACTTGATTCATACTACCACGAACGCAAATACACATTCATTTTGTTAATTAGAATCCTGATCTAACTCTAATAAACCAAACTACATTCATTTGTCATTCTATTTCTCCAACAATTGATACCTTCAAATGTTGATGACTCTTCTGATGTTGTTGGCGCAAACTTTTGTTGTCTACTTCTTCAAAATTCTCAAGTACAATCCAAAATGATTACACTATATTTTGATCTTACATGTTGTCTTTAATTCTGAAATACTCCATTCACTAACAAATTTTAGAATTGTTGATCCAGTGATCCACATTTACTATAGTATATTCATTCTTAAATAATCCAATCACTTTAAGTTGTACTAAATTCATTTTTCCTCTTATTTCACAGGTAATTTTTATCTGGAGCTGCCCAACTCTGAAAAGCAGCCAAAAGGCAGATGTATGTAAATATAATAGGATGTAAATATCTAAATAATACAGCCAGAAAAACAAACTAAACAATTGCCAACTATATTTACAATATCTAACGATCTCTATATATCTATGTATCTCCATATGTACATTTAGCCGGCTCATACATTTTTATAGATCCAACAAACAAAAATCTTTCAACGTTGGGCCCGTGCAAGCACGGGCCACCTCTATCTAGTATATATATATATATATATATGAATTAATAGTTTGGGTCAGCACGAACAAATTTTTTATATAAACTACTAATGTTCTGATTAAATAAATCTCTAGTTATTTAGAAGTATAGTATGCATTTGCAAAAGATGTTTTTCGAATACTAAAATTCCAAAAATTAAAGTAATGATCACATTAAATTGAAACAAATCAGTTATCAAATTTCTTTAATTAAAATTATAGGTCAGATAAATTTTCATTTTATAAAAAATAAATTATAAAATATTAATAAAATTGAACATTAGTATTTCATATAATTATTTAACAAAAATATATATTATACATAAACAGTTTTTCACTTAATTGTTAATATGAACAAGTGTAGGAGATAAATATTTTAATATAAGATTTAAATACAAAAAATAATTGTATAAGTTATTTATTATAATTAATTAATATGATTTAATTCACAAAAAATCCCAACAAATTGGAAAATAACACTTTTATCGTATTATTGTTTTTTCTCATTATTTATTATTTTTCACAAGTTACTTTCTCAATATAACTTTGAAGTATATATATTCTCTTGTTCAATTTTATTTGTAACATTCATCTATTAAGAAAATAATAATTAATATAATTATTTTTTTCACAAAATACTTTTATCAATTAATATTGAATTGTTGAAACTAACTTTTTATAACGAGTAATTAAAATTTCAAGTAAAATATAAGAAAATTATTGTCCTCACTTTGCATTTCAATAACAAGAAGTAAAATAAAATTATCTTTTAAATTTTAATATTAATAAATAAAATTATCACATAAAATAATATTTAATTTATGCCCAATATAAAAAAATACTGTGCTTCTATTCACCAACAAATTTATAAAATACTTTATAAAGATGGGAAGATTAATGACTAATGGGACTCATCCTATCATCAGCTTCCATAAGGGTATGTTTCGTAATTAGGTGGTAAAAGCCTAAAAGGGTGAGCTTTTTTCTTAGAGCTTTTGATGGAGTTCAAATGTTCAATTACTAAAGCATAAAAGAATAAAATATGACTATACTAAGCAACTTTATCTAATAAAACCTTGTGAAAACTCAAATACCCTCAAACTTTTACTAATACCCAAAAATTGACATGTAGAAAATTTAGATTATACTATATAGAAAACTAAAAAAATTGATACGTTGAAAGTTATAAATTCTCTCTTCTACTATATACTAGAGGGGTATAGCTCGTGTCGAACACGGGCTCATATTTAATATTTTAAAATAATGTTTGCTTTGTAGTCATTTGATGTAAAAAAGGATAAAATTAAAAAAAAACATAAAGACGTAACTACTTCAATATAAAAGTAGGTCGCATAAGTACTTAATTTACATGGGAGAATGCCTTCCCAAATAATATATGCATTGCATATATCCAAAACAAAACTACACCAATAATGACTAATAAATTTGAACTTGGATAATCAAGTTCAAGACAAACAATACATTGTTTCATCTCTTTACACAAAAGGAAGAAAACGTCAAATGAAAGCAGACCCAGGAAATCAACATTTTAGTTATTGAACAATCAAAAATATCAATAAAGAGTAGAAAAAGATAAAGTAGTACATGAAAAATGTACAAAGAAAATTTCCGGTATGATTGAAGCAAGTAGAATTCATAACTCATATATGACATATTGAAGCAAGCAGAAGTCATATATGACAATTTTTTCCCATAAATTTTCTATTGTCGTTCAAAGCTTCTTGGCTCACTTCCCACTTCTTTTTCCAGAAAGCTTGTATGTTGTTTAAAATTTATACATGCAATATAAAAGTATCAGAGAACAAACAATTAAGTTCTACAATGATTTACACTACTCCTTTAAGTTGTCATGATTTGCTATACCATCAAAAGTAATTTTACGATTGACATACTTCGTACTTTATCTTTTCTGTCAAAGAAGATCGAAGACAATACTTCAGATGAAAGAAAGATGAAAATTGTGAGAGGAAAAATTGTAGCGTAATTTTACTGCCAACATTTTAACTCAACAATCAATTTCATTTAACTTACCCTCTCAAAGTACCCATGATTACTTGGTGGATGGAGCCAATGCTCATAAAGAACACTAGAATATTTAAGGACAGTAAAAGAAAGTCAATCAAAAATTTTATCACTGTACATTAGACATTGAATGATGATACATTTCCGATGGAAATCAGTAAAGTCTGAAAGCAGAATAAAGATTGGGATAGTAACCAAGAAAAGAACATTAATTGCAAGTAGATTAAAAGATAAATCGATCTATATTTAGATTATGCGTTTCAGTCACATCATAAGGGCATCAACTTGGTGGAAATTAATATTGTTAACCAAGATACTTCGCTACAATGATGAAAAATCAAATCTCAGACAATAGGCTTTGAAATACAAAAAGAGCTGCTCAAAAAGCTCTCTTCATAAGTGAAACTCAATCAAACAAAACATTAGTCTAGGTTATAAATTCATTGTGTTGTAACTACCATTTACCTCATAAAATTGAATGTTATGATTATATCCCCCCCCCCCTTATATCCTCCCCCCTCCCTAAACTCCTCTTTCCAACCCCCATAATAACCAATTAATCAGTTTATGCCTAAATCACCATGCCCAAAGAACTTCAACTTCTTATTTGGTAAAATCCTTAACTACATAAGTAATCACTGATATTATTGGCCCTATCCATATTTATCATCACTAAATGATTTATTTTATAAGACCTACACACCTTCATCATCTAGGTGCTTTATTGTTGCATTTTCATGGCCACATACGCCTCAGTTACCTAATACAACAGTAACATATTGTTGTGATGAAAAGATGAAACCAAAAATCTAACAATAAAGAACATCAAGTTTAACGTGAAAAAACCCTTCAAACCAAAGGTAACCACCACGAGATCGATAAGATCCTAATTGCTTCACTATACCAATAAGAGGTTTATAAATATTCTTCTAATGGATACACAACAAGTGCCAAAAGAGAATAAACAATATCTACACAAACAAAAGATAAATAGAAAGAAACACCACTCAAACTAAGCTTCTGTTCAGGACCTAAAACAGGATTTTGCTGACTTCCGAATCCTATCTCCACCGTTCAACTCAACCAATAAGATGTCAGGAACACTTAGTCAAAATTTCAGTTCGATCCAACGGTTAATTAATCAATAAACATGATCTGAATGTTGATGATCGGAGAAAAAGACTGCAGCAAAAGAACCCTTTTCTTTCTCTCTTTTTCTCTTGTTGAAAACTCTCTCAAAAACCTCTCTTATGTTCTAATGTCTTTCAAAGACAATATCAATGAGCAATTAATTATTCTCTCAAGACAATCCTCTATTTATAGAGTTGTGATTTTCCTTACAAAGCCAAAACCAACTACAAATAGGATTACTATTCCAATCCTTTTCCTAATAGAATTGGAAACCAAATAAAGAGAATAATTCCAATCCTTTTACAAGTAGGGTTAGGCCATGGGCCTTTGGCTGGAACATGGGCAATAGCCCAACAAACTCCCCCTCCAGCCAAGGGGCCAAATGGACTTGAAGTGGAGCAACTTTAGACAGGCTTCCTGCTTGCCACACTTCTACAAAACTCATGATTGTCTACGATGAGTTCTTTCCACTTATCTCTATGAGTATCTAAGATGACTTCATCATAACCTTCAGGTTCTCCCATATTAGTCAATAGAATATACTCATCATGAGAATAACCTGTTGAGCTTGTTAGGACCGAAAATAAGCAGGTGTAAATGCAGAAGATAGCAAAGTAAACCTCAAAAGACCACGAGTAAGAAGACAATGAGAAATATACCAAAAGACATAAAGATTTAATGTGGTTCGGTCAATCTACCTACGTCCACAAAGAAGATGAGCAATCCACTATAAATATGAGAGTACAAAATAAAGAGAGAAACAATTTCTACCAATTCACTCAGAATACATGGGAGGTTTACACAAGTGATAACGTATCAAACTTGTGACCCATAAATTCTCCCTCTAACCAAAACTCTCAAAGCCCTTAAAGACTACATTGTGAGTGCTGATTAAGTTAGAAGGAACATTCCTCTATTTATAGAGTCCTAAAACTTTTCCTACCAGAAAAAGGATTAGTCAATCCAAAACTTTTTTCTAAAAGGAAAACCTATTTATGGTAAGAAATCAGGGCAAATAAAACCCAACAAATCTCTCCCTTGGCCTGAATTTCTGATAAAATAAATTTGTCCACCTTCTTTACTTAATAATCAACAACTTGCTTCTCCTCTCCATAATCTCCTTTGCAAAATTTATGTCTCAACACAGAGAACCTCTCTGAAATAATTTTTCCAACAAAATCTTCATTACTGTCAAAAAGGTTGCGATTAGAACTACACCCGTCAAGATTAACACCTCCTTCTAACCTGATTCAATCATCAATTATCGAACCACTAAATCTGACTCTATCATTGAATCTGGCTCTGTTACCACTTGTTAGGACCGAAAATAAGCAAGTGTGAACGCGGAAGCTAGCAAAGCAAACCTTGAAAGATCAAGATTAAGAAGACAACGAGAAATATACCAAAGGATACAAAGATTTAACATGATTCGGTCAATCGACCTACGTCCACAAAGGAGATGAGCAATCCACTATAAATATGAGAGTACAAAATACATAGAGAAACAACCTCAACCAATTCACTCGGAATACATGGGAGGTTCACACAAGTGATAACGTATCAAGCTTGTGACCCATAAATTCTCCCCCTAACCAAAACTCTCAAAGCCTTTAAGACTACATTGTGAATTCTAATTAAGTTAGAAGAAACATGTCTCTATTTATAGAGTCCTAAACCTTTTCCTACTAGAAAAAGGATTAGTCAATCCAAAACCTTTTTCTAAAAGGAAAACCTATTTATAGTAAGAAATTTAGGACAAATAAAACCTAACACATATTCATTAAGTCCACAAGTAGACTTTGAGGAGAGTAAAATGTGTGCAAATCTTACCGCTATCTTGTAAGGTAGAGAGGTTGTTTTTGAATGAACTCATCTTAAAGAAAACAAAAACAACAAGATAGTAAGAAAGTAGAGGCTCTAAGCCAAACCTGCAAAGCAAAAATACCAAAATTAATGGTCGTATATGCATATACTATTAACTATTGAAATCTTTAAAGTGTTCGAGTTTTTTCTTATCTTTTCCTTTTTGACAAGTCTCAATGCTTTATCTTTTTTCTGCTCTAAAAACTACAATATACACTTTCTATACATTTTACATACTCCAAAATTTTCAGATCCTGGAAGAGGTTGAACAACAACATATATGCTTTAAGTTAGGAGTGAAAATTATTCTCTGAGTAAGGAATCTCACTCAACTCTATGTTAGCAAAGCCAACAAATCTCTTGTACCCATTCTACCAATTATATATCATAATGACTGCTAAATTTTTATAGACTTCAAATCTCCTTTGTCTTGCCTGCTGCTTTTCTTCATATTATTACCCTTTCCAATCTGCTTAATTGGATCTATTATACAACCATTCACTCCACTGCATTGCGTAGAATCATGCCTCTTATTTGTGGCTGCATGTATGCGGCAGCTGTCCCACCAACAATTAATATACATGTTGTAATCATTAGATCTTTCCTTTCAGAAGTCAGAATGCTCACCTATGTTCACCTATGGATAGACCATGCTTAGAGTGTGTGTAAATAATATGTAGTCACTATTGCCAACAGAACAACCAAAGTAGCATTGATATTGTCTTTTCTTAATAATTTACACTCTTTAAAGGTGCACTCCCAAACATATCTGCATACATTTATCACACAAACAAATTACATAAACAAAGTATTATTAAGGAAAGTTTATTTAAATAAAAAATATCTTACACATTCTTTGTAGCAGGAAAAAGACTTCTGAAAATTAAAAAACGACGTCTAAATCTACTCTTCATCTTCCTCGTCACAATTTTCATAAATCTCGTCGCCTTTAATCCAAATCCAACTGTTTCTTATTTTCAGTTAAATCATCAAAATTAGAATAAACTATTTATTTCTGATTAGTAATAGATAAAAGTCATAAAAACATATTAAGCTTAAAGGTGACCAAAATAATTGACAGACTATAAGTGTGTTACTGACGTTGAAATTTTGCTGACACAACCTCCGAGTTGTTCTCAATGTCATTAGGTGTTATAAAATTTACCAAGAAGATGTAGATATAATCATTCCTGTAAGTACCAAAAAAATGTTATAATTATACAAATTGAAATAGAAAAATGCAATATTGAAGCAGTATGAATAGACAAATATAAGTTCTGAGTAAGCGACTTATAAAGTTTTCTTTTTTATTTGGACCATTGACTTATATCTTCGGCTTAATGTTATCTTGTTATCAATGAATTGAAGCTAGCACTCATAATGAGGACATGTTCCATATGCTTCAACTTCTCTATAATCTAAGAAAATCATCTTCTGATATTCTAACCAGAATCTGCATCATGTCTTTCTGAAGTCCTCTTCATTGAATTTCAAATTAATTCTCCGTATGTTTTGAATCATACTTGTTCACCTACCTGACCATCAATTACTTCACCTATATATCTCCTAGTACTAATAGCAGTAGCACAAATATCCATTTGAGAATGTGCACAAATGCATGTTGTTGGGTTTTCATGGAACTCTCTCCTGCCTGGCTTTATGTTTATTGGCTCGCCCATGAAACCTATTTTAGACATTCGAATTTGTGAGGCAAACTCTTGTCATGCCATGTTATTTCGATGAAAGAGCAAACTATTAAGCTTCTAAGCATTGGAGCGGATAGTTGTCTTCTGACCAAAATATTTTCAGAAATACGAAAAGGATTTTAAAAACTTTACCCTTTCCTAAAGTAACATACCAACAAATAAAGTAATATGGTATTTGAGTAAAGAATATGACATTTCTAGGAGTATCATTATGACAAAAATCAGTTACCAAAAGAGCCAAATGCTTAGAAAGTTTCACAATAGCCTTTAATGAAATCCAAACTAAACGAAGTTGTGCCATCTTTATCCAAGGAGCAGTTTGACTATCTTTTTTATTCCACTAAATAAAAGCATAATAATTATTTATCTGTCATTATATCTATATCAGTAAATAAATAAATACTCTGCATTAATAAGGATTGGAGCAAAAAAATAACGAAATAAGGATAAAAACTCACCTTGAATTGAAAAATACAACAAGAGACGTAACAACCAAACTGCACCAAAGAGAAACAAATATGGTAAGAAGCAGCAGTGGGATAAACAATATTAGAGGTAGTCGATTGCTTTACTAAATCAAATAGATAAACAAAGACAGATTAAAGAGGAAGTTAGATAGGAAAAACTAAAAATCAACAAGATATAATAACAGAGTATGTCGATTTCTGTCTCATTTGTGAGTTTCAAGCCTTTCGCTATTACAATTTTTCAAACTCCAATTTTAAAATTTAGGTTATAAATGCGGTGGTTTCTCATGTTCTGGAGGATAATTTTACTCTTGTATGTATATGAACACTTACCTTATTCACCATCTTCCATAGCATCGGGATATCGCTCCTGTGAGCTATTAAGAATTGAAGATGGAGTACCTAGAATTAAACATAGCAATGGGCGATACTTAGCTTACAAAGAAAATGGTGTACCAAGATGGTGATGTGACAGGACGACCATCAGGGGTGACACATAACTTCGAAGGTAGAGGTTGTATTGCACGTTTAGCATCCTTAAAAAAATTTCTCACCTAGACCCATCTAAAAGGACTGCTACAATTTTCTCAAACATCCCTAAAAAATTCCTCCATTTTAAGCTTGGAATGAAATATTAAAAGCAAGAAAACACTTGCTCTACGATAGGAACATATATGCTATGATGGACAGAAACATATATGCTATGATGCTCAGGTCAAAAATGTCGAAAAAGAAAGACGTTTCTATGATAATTTTATTCATCTCTCGACTTTACTTTTCATTCAACCAATTTCAATTTGGACAATGAAATTTAGTTTTTCTTTTTTGCAGCTGTGATTCAACTTTAAATTGAAAAGTTTAAAGGTTCATTAATGCTACCACGAGTGTTGCAATAAAAAGTAAATTGAAAAGTTTAAAGTGTATTTCCATCCTATTGGTGTTATATGATAATAGAAACTTCTCCTATTGAGTTTACAAGTTTAATATAAAGAACTTATGACTTACATGCTCTATGATGATATTTTTTGAAAGTTAGCTTTCTCTTCTTCACATATAAATGATGGTTATATTTTAAGGGGACTCGCTGAAAGTACCAATTAATTCTTTTATTCAACTTTTTTGGCAAGTGTTCAAAAGTTATTGCGTGAGATCGTATGAAAAGATTGTTGGTGTTCTTACGTATGAAACAGTCTCCATGTTCTAAGGTATGAAGCTTACATTTAATATGTCTCTCATTTTTCTTGATTTTGGTGTCTCTGCATATTGTTTGCATCAGACGTTTTAGGTTGAGCTTTAGTGGTGGAGTAGTAGTTCTATTCTAAATTATTGCCTTTAAGCCGTCATGTTATGTAGATTAGGTGAACCTCAACGGGGATCCTGTTTTTTCTCGTGACATATTTCTTTTTTCGAGGCGTTTTTTTTTTATCTCAATCTGGCCATTTATATCTACTGATTGTTGAACCCAAAAAAAACTGTTGATTGTGTTCGCCATGTCCTTATGCACTCTAAGCTAGCATAATATTATGTGTTAATTATTGTCATTGTCTTATTGGTTCTACGTGATTATCCCAATTTCACACATTTGTTTTGTTGCTATTTTATTTTGGTCTCATGTTTTTCATATGCATAGTTAGGATCTGGTGGCTTATACTAGTATGATGTTGTAGCTTTCTGTGGATGAGCTGCATTATTTTGACTGTAGTTGATTTATACTTTTCGTTAATAGAATTCAAATATATTACTAAGTTGAGTTGAAAATTGGCCTTGCGGAAACTATAATTCTGCTGAATAACATATATTCTTGCAGGAACAAGCTTGCTCTTTACTATATATTTTAGGACTATACTAAGATATATGTGTTAGGTTGTGGAGCCTGATTAATATATATAACTGTTTACGCGATTTAATGCTATGGTTTGCACTAGACCTGATATAGAACATGCAGTGGGAGTTGTTAGCAGGTACATGGCGAACCCTGGGAAAGAGCATTGGGAAGCTGTGAAGTGGCTTCTGAGATATTTGAGAGGTACATCCAGTACTTCACTTTGTTTTGGCGAAGGCAATGTGACTCTACAGGGTTTTGTGGATGCTGATCTTGGTGGGGATGTTGACTCAAGCAAGAGTACATCCGGGTACATTTACACCATAGGTAGAACAATAATGAGATGGATGTCTAGGCTTCAGAAATGTGTTTGTCTTTCATCTACTGAAGCTGAGTATGTGGCAATAGCTGAAGCTGGGAAAGAGATGATATTGCTGGCAGATTATCTTGAGGAATTGGGCAAGAAGCAGATTGAGAAGATTCATTACTCCGATAGCCAGAGGGCCATACAGTTGGTTAAAAACAGTCTATCATTCGAAGACAAAGCACATCAGAAGGCGATACCATTTCACTCACAGGACAGTGAAGGATGGTGATATGTGCTTGGAGAAGATAGAGGGTGCAAAGAACCCGACAGACATGTTGACGAAATGTGTTGATGTTGGGAAACTGGGGTTATGCAAAACCTTGGTTGGTCTTCTGTAGTTGTTGCTACAGATGTTGCAGTGCGGTAAAGATGGTGACGATGAAGAGTTTTTGTTGAGAATGTATATTTTTGGATGACTGAGTCAGTCTCCAAGTGGGAGAATTGTTAGGTTGTGGATAAGCGGCTTATAAATTTTTTTTTTATCTGGACCATTGGCTTATATCTTCGGCTTACCGTTATCTTGTTATCAATGAATTGAAGCTAGCACTCATAATGAGGACATGATCCATATGCTTCAACTTCTCTATAATCTAAGAAAATCATCTTCTGATATTCTAACAAGAATCTGCATCATGTCTTTCCTAAGTCCTCTTTATTGAATTTAAAATTAATTCTCCGTATGATCTAAATCATACTTGTTCACCTAACTGACCATCAATTACTTCACCTATATATCTCCTAGTACTAATAGCAGTAGCACAAATATCCATTTGAGAATGTGCACAAATGCATGTTGTTGGGTTTTCATGGAACTCTCTCCTGCTTTGCTTTACGTCTATTGAATCACCCATGAAACCTATTTGAGACATTCGAATTTGTGAGGAAAACTCTTGTCATGCCATGTTATTTCGATGAAGGAGCAAACTACTAGGCTTCTACGCATTTGAGCGGATAGTTGGCTTCTGACCAAAATATTTTCAGAAATGCGAAAAGGATTTTAAAAACTTTACCCTTTCCTGATGTAACAGACCAACAAATAAAGTAATATGGTATTTGAGTAAAGAATATGACATTTCTAGGAGTATCATTTGGACAAAAATCAGTTACCAAAAGAGCCAAATGCTTAGAATGTTTCAAAATAGCCTTTAATGAAATCCAAACTAAACGAAGTTGTGCCATCTTTATCCAAGGAGCAATTTGACTATCTTTTTTATTCCAGTAAATAAAATCATAATAATTTTTTATCTGTCATTATATCTATATTAGTAAATAAATAAATACTCTGCATTAATAAGGATTGGAGCAAAAAAATAATGAAATAAGGAAAAAAAACTCACCTTAAATTGAAAAATACAACAAGAGACGTAACAAACAAACTGCACCAAAGAGAAACAAATATGGTAAGAAGCAGCGGTGGGATAAACAATATTAGAGGTAGTCGTTTGCTTTACTGAATCAAATAGAGAAACAAAGACATATTAAAGAGGAAGCTAGATAGGAAAAACTAAAAAATCAACAAGATATAATGACAGAGTATATCAATTTCTGTCTCATTTGTGAGTTTCAAGCCTATCGCTATTACAATTTTTCAAACTCCAATTTCAAAATTTAGGTTAAAATCTAAAAATTTCAATGGAAGTATAAAGTGAAAAAAGTTACCTGCATGTAAGGCTTCACCTATAAACGTATAGCAACAACATAGAAAAGAAGGAGAAATAAGAAATAACCATTGTTGGAAGAAGAAAACAATGAAGGTGTGAAAGAGGAGTGAAGGATGAAGAAGAACCAACATAATGTGGAGGAACTAATATTAAGCCTATAGGATAGCTGGATTCACACCTAATGAACACATGTATGTATCAGTACATTAATTATTCAAGAGGCATTGTTGTCGTACATCTTATATTGCTTTTAGTCCAATTATGCAAAGCATTGCAAAAGGTAAAATGGGCCCAAGTTAATGGTAAAATTTTCTTAACTTTTAGTACAACTCTTTGATGTTGTGTTAGTCCATTCCAACTCTCACTTCTAACTAAGTAAGTATATATAACCATTGTTGGAAGAAGAAAACAATGAAGGTGTGAAAGAGGAGTGAAGGATGAAGAAGAACCAACATAATGTGGAGGAACTAATATTAAGCCTATAGGATAGCTAATGAACACATGTATGTATCAGTACATTAATTATTCAAGAGGCATTGTTGTCGTACATTCTATATTGCTTTTAATCCAATTATGCAAAGCATTGCAAAAGGTAAAATGGGCCCAAGTTAATGGTAAAATTTTCTTAACTTTTAGTACTACTCTTTGATGTTGTGTTAGTCCATTCCAACTCTCATTCTATATATATATATATATATATATAAACACTAGCACCCCTTTGTCCATCTTGAAAGAGACTTAATTCAATAAAGCACTTAGATAATGAAACTTGATTTCAATTTTGATTTGGTTCAGTTTGATTATTAGTCATACACGAAAATAAAAATAAAGATTCATTCAAAACAGGAAAAAAGTGATAACAATCCATTCAAAATGAAAAATACCTAGGACAACATATATTATAGAACTTTCGTTCACTATATTTACCATATATAAAACTTCACAATTCACCATTTTAGTCTAGAAGAAAGATATAGTGACATTTCTAGTCCCGTAAAAATTATCATAGACACTCATATACATGTAACCAATAAAATGATTGTTTCCGTCTTGTACATTTTTTCTTTCATAAATAGATTAAAAACAAAATTTGATGAAAACATATATAATTAGATCCTTAAAATTATTTGTAAAAATAATATATTATGCATAAATAATAATAAAATATATGTATATATTTTTTCTATTTTGTTATTTCTTCAGTTTTTTTAAAAATAAACAAAACCAAACTAAATACTATTGATTTTTAAAAATCTAAAATCATACCCAAATAAACGGTGAAAAATCCTACTCAGGGCTAACTCAAGAGTATTGGGAGCCTAAAACGAAACTTTAAGAGAGGGGCCGCCTAATTTATCCTTTTTCATCATATGTGCTTTTATTTAAAATCTACTTTTTTAGCTATTTTAGACGCAAATTCATTAAATGTTGCTTTATAATCAATTTGTATTAGACTTAAGTCATCAGCGGTGCCTTAAAATTGTCCGCATAAATCACTTAGATATCTCAACTAATACTAGTACCAACTGAACACTTTTACCTATACAAAAACCGTTCCTATTAGACATTTTTTGATAATCAGCAAAAAGTGTGAAGAGTTTGTGATACACTTGGGGTGACGTGACAAAGTGACTCATTAAAAAATAACATTTGACATTGGACCACAAAAATTATAAAAACAGACACATTGAATATCTATTTTTTAAAAAAAGAAAAAGAAAAAAAATGACCTTACCCCACCCCAAACCAACCCCCTTTCATTTTCATCTTCTTCCCCAAAACACATTCTTTCTCAAATTACAAAATCTTATTCTTTTTAAATACTAAGAGTGAAGAAGAAAGAAAATTTTCTTGGCGGTTATTCAACTCTACATCGATTACAAAATAAAATTGATAGCTCCAAAATTATTTTTTTAAAATTTTTTGATATCATTTTTGATAAATTTAATGAACACATGAATTTGAGTAAAAATCTTTATTTGAAAATTGTGATAAATAAAT